GACAGATTCATTTTCTATCATCTCCAAATTGTAGCCTGACAGAGAATGCTTCTATTTTCTGATCTACACTCTCATTTTTCTCTTTCATCCACTTTTCCTCACCTGATAGAATAAACATCATGCAGAACAAAATCTTAAGCACGTCCCTTTTTTGACATGCCAGAGATGCGACCCTAACATCACCTGGTCTGACCAGACATGATGATTGCATTTGTCTAGCCAATAAAAATAAAATGGCTTGGCTTCATGACTGCAACAAAATGTTTTATGGTCCAAGATATACACAGCTTAAAAAAATAAATGTTTTTTAAGAGCAGAAGGGACTTCCCTACCTGGAGATGATATGTGGGTTGTAAACAACAATACAAATACAAATGAGTTCACTTATTCTGGATTCTTATAATGGGAGCAAAGGGCTAAGCCAGCCAGTTTTCTCCAGTGGATGGAGAAGACTGAGGCAGAGAATTCAGATCTAGGTGAGAAAAATAAAGAGAAATTCCTCTGGAACAACATATTGGCGTGAAAACTGGAGCCCTGTTCCCGGCTGAGACTGGGATTAGAAACAGTCTATGAACACTATCAATTTCCACCTATTCAGGGGAAAATAACTATTTAATGCACCTACTTGTGTAGGATATTGCTCTGTCCTACTTAAAGGGATGTACCTGCATGAAATTAATTTCTTTTATTAAAAAAGCGCAATTAGGACAATTTTAGCTGCCACGGGCTATTAATAATAGTCCCAAACTTAAAGGCAGTAATTGTTGGGGCAAAGTACAGTTTAGTTCTGCAGCCAGTTTGAAAAGTTGGGTCGTTCCCTTAAAGCAGACTAGACAAAATGGTTGTAGATACTTCCTGAAGAAAGAGGAAGGAAAAATTTAAAAACAGGAGAATGAAGGATTTAAAGAGTGAATGTGGATGACAGCAAATATTAGATTATGTAGAGGAGGAAAAACATTTCTCTTCTTCCATTCTAGGTTCTGTGGCTGGTATACTGATTAAATTGATGTAAGGAAGGTTAGCAGGAAAAAAACAAATTTAATTTCACACGTATGGGAGTCCCACAAGGATACGAGACTCAAATAGGGAAGATTTTATACCTTTTAAATAAAGAAACAATGAATTTGTGAAGACTTGACAAGGCAGAAGGGTTTGGGCTAGGCTTAGTAAATGGGGAAGAAGTAACAAAGCTTGTTTATATAGCCTTTTTGGCCCTGAATTAACCTGTCTCTGATGGTAAGATGTCTCCCTTCCTCTTGGTACAGGGAGGGTACCTTTCACATTGGAGATTTATCTCTTGCTTTTGTGAAAGATGGGCAGGGTGTCGGGAGGTGGTCAGAGAACCTTCCTGCTTCTGCCATTTTCTCCATCTCCTTCAGCTCAAGACATTTAATATGCCAGGGTGTTATATTTTGGAGTAGTGTGTCCTGAATCCCATTAATGACAAAGAATATTTAGCCACAGTATTATTTAAGATAGCAGCGAACTCAATAAAGATCAGGAAATTGAGAAGGATGGATATACAAAGACAGTGATAGAGAAGCCAGCAAACCACCAGGAGAGGCTGGACAAATCTTTGCCTGACATGAGCTTGTCCACCTTCTGTCTTTACTCACACCATGTCTTGGGTCAGACACATCCTTCTTTCCCTATTCCAGCTGGCAGGATGTGCTCTCTTCTGGGGGAATCCTCCCAGGGCGCTCCTCTGCCCCTACAACATCTGTACCCACCTCTGAGTCCACTGCACTGATTACCTGTTCACATGTTTGCTCCCTGCTAGGGAGTATGCTACCTCTGAGACCATTTCATTCATTTTCATAGCCCTAGAAAATGCCACGATGCTTGAAAAATAGTAAATATCTAGGAAATAATTTTTGAATGATTTAATAAATGACTGCTTAATTATTATTTAATAATAGTAATAATAATAGCTTGCTTTTGAATTGTGCTTTATAGTTTTCAAAGTACAGCCACACACATTATCTCATTTGTTTCTTGGAGCCTGTTGTGAAACAGGCAGGGCAAGTGTACATGTTAAACAGGGCTCAGAAAGTAAATTCAATCACTTAGATGTTAGATAAGAGAAGATATAGCCCAAGTTACATTGGTTATTGCACAATTTAAAAAAAGAAAAGCCACTCGGGAACATTGTGTGCTTGATCAGAATCCATTTTGTGGGATTCTAGAAAAAAATCTAGGTCATGCTTATAGTCCTTCTAATTATCTTTAGTTATGAGCAGCTGGCCTTGTTTCCTGAGTCATGAATTGTGAAGCCTGGGCGCCCATATATAGAATTACTCCTGAGGTTATAAATGACCTAAGACTGAAAAACAAATCTCTGCCCTCATTCAGGGTGTGAGCTATGAAGAGTATGAGGTTATACTCCCAGTCCATCATTCTTCCCTCTGGGCACCCAGGAGATTGGGCGTCCACCATCCGGAGCCATACTTGACACCGGGGAAGGACAGTATTGGAATGGAGAGCTCCTCAAAGTGACTGTTGCACTTTAATGCAGCTGTCTTTGTTCTGGGGTATAAAAAGATGCTATAAAACGAAGATTCCAAAAAGAGAATGGAGGAAAAAGGAGGAAATGGCAAGTTAATAAGGTAATGGGCTCCTGTGCTTTCCCCTGACTACAATTTATTCCTCCTTCTTGAGACAATATCTCTGATTTTCCTTTGAAGAACCACTTCACTCCATAAGGTTTTGGTGAAGTCAACCAACTAGTACTTGGTTCCAAGGATAACCATGTAACCTTAGCCTGCCAAGGAGTGCCTGCCATTTCCTTAGCCACAGTGATTAGCCCCGGGGTATGCACATGACTCAAGTTTCCCCAAAGAGACTTGGTTTTGAGGCTTTGTTGAAACTATCAGAATGGAGAGGCTCTCCTACTGGAAAGCTAGCTAAAAGGAATATATAAGCCAGGAGCCGGCAGGGCTTCTCTGTGAATAGGTCCTATCTGGGGTGAAGTCACCAAAGAGGAAAGCAGACCTGAGAGATGAGAAAAGAGATGTACCAGCTTGGTCTGAATGACCTTCTTTAGTCCCTGGATACGGTTGTACCAAATGTCAGTTCTACTTACTTTGGATTTTTTTAGTTACATGATTTAATACTTATGTAGTAAGTTAATAATTTCTCCCCCTCACCTTATCAGTTGGAATTATATTCTCCCCCTCACCTTATCAGTTGGAATTATATTTCTGGTGTTTGTTTTTGTTTTTGCAACTCAGATTTTGACAGAAGCATGCAACTTCGGTAGTATGATGGGAAGGATACAAGAAACATGAAAAAGATCAGCTGGGAAATCGTTCATATGAGATGATGTTCAGGATCTCGCAGTACCCAGGTGGAAAATAGGAAAGGAAAGGAGAGAAGAACTCACACACACCTTAAGAGGACAGTGTGAGTGTGTGTAAGTGTGGGGGCAGCAGCAAGTGATACAGCCAAACAATCCCATGGGATTGTTTATTCACTTGCACTCCCAGGGGATGCTGTGCTAAAGGCCATGTATGGGAGTGCTCTGTAAAAGACATGTGGTTGCCATAGTCAATTGGAAATTAGAAGTAAAATATAATTGCTGCTGCTGTGTTTGTATTCTTTCAAGCAGCATTTTGTTATGTCAGGTTATAAGAAGTGCCTCTGGAATATGAACGTTTACCTTACAAATTATGAAAGGGGTAAAGAGAAGGTGAGTCATGTTACTAAAACTCTGCTGACCAGGAATTCTTCCCCTGGGGTTCATGGCTCATGGTTATGCCTCAAAGGATCTGTGAACGCTTTGAAATTACGTGTGGAAATTGCATATATGTGCATTCTTCTGAGGAGAGGGTCCAATTCTCCAAAAAGTAAATGAACAAAAGAGTTGATTGGACCTGGAGTGGACACCTGACCCACGCTGACCAATCAACAGCCACTTCCTCCTGTGAATTAAGACCTGAAAGTGGGCAACTTCCTGTCAGTCTCAGAGAAGCTGGCACTGAGGAGAGTAAACTCAGGAGCTGTGGGGCTGCCATACAGAGGGAAAGCAGACACTGTCTAGCTGCCGGGGGAGAAAGGTGGAACCAATGTCATGCAGTATGAAAGCGTGAAGACTTGTGGCCCCAGAGACAGACCGTGAGAGCTGTGCTCTGAGTCAGGACAGCTTGCTGGTTCTTGGTTCAGGTGCCACGTGATGCCTTGAAGCCTGGCTCTGCCACTGCCTTGCCATCTGTGAGATGCTCCTGTGTCTTTCCAGGACATTTGTGCTTTTTTTTTTTTGCCTTCATCAAGCTGGTTCCAGCTGGTTGCAGTTATTTGCAAATAAGAGACTCTTAAACAAGGAGTTTCAGTAAAAACACACAATAAGATCCTTGCTGGAAGAGAACGGGGAACAAGTGCGGGCTCTTAACATACATTATCCCATTTAATCTTCACACAATTTCTACCATTTAACACCTGAGGAAATGGAGTCTCAAAAGAGTTAAAAACCCTTCCCAAGTCACAGAACTAAGAAAACTTTAATTACATTATGGTAAAATTTAATGAATACAATTTTCTTTATTGCAATATCAATAACTCTCTAGTGACTCGAATATTCATGTTGCCTTCCTTTTGAGCAGTGTGAGTGTAAACTGACAAGTGAAAACTTCATGGATTTTCCATTCCTGGAGCCCCTGGCTCTTTCAAAGAACTTTCCAACTCTCTTTTCAATCAGGGATCATTTATTCTCTTTATTTAAAAAAAAATTAACACCATCTCTTTTGCTCTCTTTAATAAATATTTTTATTGTAAAATATATTTATATGTTCATTATGCAAAAGTTTAAATACAGGAATATAGAGATTGGAAGAAAAGCCACCATTGAAAACACTTAGATGTATTTCCTTCTAATATATTTTATTATACATAGTTTACTGTATTTTGAATTTATTTCATGTCTTGTAGTTGAGAACATACTGTATTGTACTTTACCAATTTCTGATGTTGCTAGAACTTTGAACTTAAAGGAAGCTTGGCTACTATTTGTGCTACTGTTTTTCTACCATTACTAGTATTTTTCATTAATGCTACTACTATTATCTAAATTTAGAAACATGACTTATATTTACAGATTGCTTTCACTTATATGATCCTTATTTAAAATTTAATTTTGTTTTGATAGTAACACTTAATATAAGATGTACTTTCTCAACAAATTTTTGTGTATATCTGGTGGTGTTGGCTATGTATATGTGTGTATAATGTACAGCAGATCTCTAGAACTTACTCATCTTGGTTGACTGAAATTTTATGCTCACTGATTTATAATTCCCCATTTGCCCTCCACCAGCCCTGGCAACCATAATTCCACTTTTTGATTCTATGCATCTGCTATATTGGATACCTCACAGAAGTGGAATCATGAAGTATTTATCTTTCTAGGACTGGTTTATTTCACTTAGCATAATGTTCTGAAATTGCATCCACATTGTCACATATTGCAGAATATTTTTCAAGCCTGAATAGTATTCCATCACATATGTATGTATTTCCTTTATCCATTCATCTGTCGATGGGTGTTATGTTGTTTCCACATCTCAGCTATTGTGAATAATGTGCTGTGATGAACATATGGATTCTACTATCATTTTGAGATTCTAATTTCAGTTCTTTTGGGTAAATAGTTCGTATGATAATTCTATTTTTGAGGAACCTCCATATTGTTTCTCACAGCAGCTGCACCATTTTACATTTCCACCAACAATGTGCAAGAGTGCCAGTTTCTCCACATTCCTCATTAACACTTGTTGTCTTTTGTTTTTGAATAATAGTCATTCTGACAAGTGCAAGGTGATATCCCACTGTGGTTTTGATTTGTACTTCCCTGATGATTAGTGATGCTGAACATTTTTCATACACCTGTTGGCCATTTGAATGCCTTATTTGGAGAAGTATCTACTCAAGTCCTTAGCCCATTTTAAAAATTATGTTCAGTTTCTTTTTTGGCTAATGAGTTGTATGAGTTCTTTATATAGTCTGTTGATTAACCTATTATCAGGTATATTGTTTGCAAATATTTTCTCCAAATACATAGATTGCCTTTTTACTTTGTTGATTGTTTACTTTGCTGTGCAGCAGTTTTAGTTTGGTATAATCCTACTTGTCTGTTTTTGCTTTTGCTGCCTGTGCTTTTAGTGTCATATCCATAAAATCCTTGCCAAGATCAGTGTCATGAAGCTTTTCCTCTATCTTTTCCTTCTATCTTTCCTTTTATAGTTTCAGGTCTTAGATTAAAGTCTTCAAATTATTTTGAGATGATTTTTGTGTCAGGTGGAAGATAAAGGTCCAATTTCATTCTTTTGCTTGTGGATATCTAGTTTTCCCAACACCATTTGTCTGAGGGAATGTCCTTTCTTATTGTGTATTCTTGGTGCCCTTATTGAAGACAGATTGACTGTATATGCATGGATTTATTTCTGAGCTCTCTATTCTGTTCCATTGGTTTATATGTCTAACCTTATACAAGTACCATACTATTTTGATTACTGTATATTTGTAATATATTTTGAAATCAGGAAGTGTGATGCCTCCAGCTTTGTTTCTTCTTAAGACTGATTTGGGTAATAGTGGTCTTTTGTGGTTCCTTATGACTTTTAGAATTTTTTTTCTATTTTTCTTAAAAAATGCTATTGAGATTTTTGATAGGAATTGCATTGAATCTGTAGATCACTTATGTAATATTTTAACAATGTTAAAATTTCCAGTCTATAAACTTCGAATGTCTTTCCATTTGTTTGTGTCTTGTTTAATTTCTTTCATCAATGTTTTGTTGTTTTTAGTGTATAAGTATATAAGAATGTTGAATTTTGTTAAATGCATTTTCTGCATCTATTGAGACAATCCTGTGATTTTTTTTCCTTTATTCTCTTAATGTAGTGTATCACATCAAATTTTTGTATGTTAAATCATTCTTGCATTGTAGAGAGAAATCCTACTTGGTCATGGTGTATGATCCTTTTAGTGTGCTATTGGATTCAGTTTGTGAAGTATTTTGTTGAAGATTTTTGTATCTATATTTATCAGAGAATTGGCCTGTAGTTTTCTTTTCTTCTGGTATCTTTGTCTGGCTTTGATATTAGGGTAATGCCAGCCATGTAAAATGAGTTTGGAAGTGTTCTCTCCTCATCAGTTTTTTTTGGGAGTGGTCTGAGAAGGATTGGCCTTAATTCTTCTTTAAAAGTTCAGTAGAATTCACCAGTGAAGCCCTCTTGTCCTGAACTTTTCTTTGTTGAGGGGTTTTTCATTGCTGATTTAATCTCCATTCTAGTTATTGGTCTGTTTATAATTTCTGTCTATTCATGATTCAGCGTTGGTAGTTTGCATGTTTCTAGGAATGCATCCATTTCTTACAGGTTATTCAGTTTGTTGGCATGTACTTGTTCATAGTCGTCTCTTGATATTTTTTAAATAATCTTTATTTCCTTTCTTCTGCTAGCTTTGGGCTTAGTTTGTCCTTCTTTTTCTAGTTGTTTTTTTGAGAACTTTTTCCTTTTCAAATATAGGCATTTATATCAATGAACTTTCCTCTTGGTACTGCTTTTGCTACATCCCATATATTTTGATACGTTGTGTTTTCGTTTTCTTTTCTGTCAAGGTATTTTCTAATTTCCTTTTTGATTTCTTCTTTCACTTGGTGGTTGCTCAAGAGGATATTGTTTAATTTCCACCTATTTGTGAATTTTTCATTTTTCCTTCTGCTGTTTATTTCTGGTTTCATTCCACTTTGGGCAGAAAAGATTCTTGGTATGATTTCAGTCTTCTTAAATGTTAAAACTTTTTTGTAATTTAGCACGTGCTCTGTCCTGGAAAAAGAGCTGTGTGGATTGTGCTGCTGCTGGGTGGAATGTTCTGTATATGCCCGTTAGGTACATTTGGTCTATAATTTTATTCAAGTTCTCTGTTTCCTTATTGATCTGTCTCAATGTTCCATCCATTATTGAAAGAGGGTGTCAAAGTCTCCTACCATTATTATATTTATATATGTTTCTCCCTTTAGTTCTGTCAGTGTTTGCTTTCTATGTTTAGATCTGTGATGTTGGATGCATATATATTTATAAATGTTACACCTTTCTACCGTATTGACCCCTTATTATTATATAATGTTCTTCTTTGTCTCTTGTTACAGTTTTGACCTAAAGTCTATTTTGTCTAATATAAGTGTAACCACCCCTGCTCTCTTTTGGTTACCATTTGCATGAAATATCTTTTTCTATCTCTTCACTTTCAGCCTATGCATGTCCAACCTAAAGTAAGTTTGTGGTTATAGTTAGGTTATATGATCTCAACTAATCTTCATAATTCCATAAGTAATGCAAATCCTTTAAAATTTCTATTTTGGAAGGATAAGTTGGTGCTCACAGACTACACGACCTGCTCAAGTCCATGTTCAGTGAGAGAAAGGGCTGAGACTAAACCCAGTCTTCTCATTGGTAGTGCAATGCTGTTTCCATAGAACTACCCACTGTCTCTTTTCATCTTGTCCTCTCCTACAGACACAGGAGGAGCTGCCAAATGCTTAATGCTCCTCACATGTGCCAGATGGGAAGTCTGGTTTCAGGTGTAAAAGTCACATAATTCCTTGGAAACTTCAGACGTCATTCTGTACCCCCAGTCTCGCGTCTTGGTGGCTACATGCTCAGATACTTGAGGGCTCTAGGGTTAATATGTTATTGTGGTTCTGGCACTCAAGACTATCAGGTGGTATTATCTGTCCTTTTTCTTGGATCATTTATCATCCTTTTATTATTAAGTGATAGAAAAAATTAGATGATCTCCATCATATCTTGGTGGTTGCCATGGAGCTTAATTGTACATCTGTTAGGCTGGTAAAACCAACTGCGACAATAATTGAGTGAGGAAGAGCTGCCTGTGAATGTTAATGTGGGACACGGCTCTTCAGCAAGCAGACCAAATGACGCTTTCCTGTGGGAGGGAGGATGGGCGCACAACCATACCGCCTAAGCATGGCAGCATTTTCCACAGGAAAATCAAGGCCAAAAAACTTCCAGGAAGTTTCCAAAGAGACTTAGAATATTTTGGGTAGTTTCTTTCTCTGAAGAGACAGTTAGAAATTAGGAGGACAGGTTGAGATTTGAAAAACCAGTGCTTTTATATGTTTTTGACATAATCCACAGTAAAAAATACATTATGACTCATGTGTATGTGTTTTCATGTGTATGTAAATGAAACAGAAGTTTCAGCGAATAATACTTTTGCTATATGCTGTGTACTCCTATGTACTCTGATAATTCTATTCCAATCCAATCCAAAATCCTTCTGATTTCAAGGTCACTGCCCTGCTGAGGGAAAATGCTAAGCCAGGTGCATGCAGACTACCCTGCCTATCTCGGTCCAAGCAGAAACCCAGGTGGTGGGATCTTCCCTGGGCCAGAAACTGTATTGAAGCTCTGAGTCTGTCACAGCTCTCCATAATCAGTGCCTCCCCCAAGGAGTCAGTGGTGGGAGCCTCCCAAGGCTGTCAGGGGAGAATATTCTAGAAATGACTGTGTTTGACATCACTAAACATAAGTCATGTTGCAGCCCCAGGGCAGAGGTTTTAGCAACTGAAGCAGTTCTCCGTCCTTACTTAGGGGATCCAGCTGTCAGTCAGTTTCTGGTCCTGGGTTCCATCCTGTGCTTCTGCACAGCCGCGGCCCAGCCTCTGGGGGCCTCCTTTAGTTGTTAAACGAGGATGATGCTGCCCTTCTTGCTCTTTTGTGACCTTGGGAAAGCACTTTGCTTCTTTGAGCTTCAGTTTCCTCACTGTTGAGATGAGAAGTTGGGCTAATTGTTCTTCTGGGTCTTTTTCAGCAATAAGAGCCTGTTTTGATTCTTGACAGGAACATTCTATGACTTATTAACAAACCTGAAAAAAATCAAAATCAAAGTGTTGCAGAGAAACTACATTACACTTCAGTTTTAAAGCCTCATTGCATGCTGTCAGTAAAAGTAACATTCCAATCCGTTTGAATTGTAATGCCTTAAAAAGGTACCTTTTGTTGTTCTTATGAGCAACTCACATTCATGCTATATTTTTCAACTGTTTATTTTGGAATAATTTTGGGTTTAGAAAAAACACAATAAAAAGAATTTCCATATACCCTTCACTCACATTCCCCAAATGTGAAGATCATAGCACACTTGCTTAATCATTTGTTCTTCTTCACACACACAAAACACACACACAAATTTATTCTGAAATGTTTTAGAGTAAGTGTTTACCTCTATATATTTTAGTGTTTCCTAAAAATATCCTAAAAATGTGGACATTCTCTTCTGTAACCACAGGGCAATTATAGAAGTCATGACATTAACATTGTTATAATTTTAATGGAAGACCTTATTCAAAGTTTGCCGATTTTCCCACAAGCTTGGTTCATGGTCCATGTTGCATTTATGTCTACTTTTTTTAATTACAAGTAATGTTCACTTTGAATATGTGAGTAAGGTGGTGTCTGCCAGATTTCTCTACGGTAAACTTAATGTCTTTTCCCTTCCTGTTTGTGAGTAAATACTCTGAAACTATGTAAATATCCTGTTTCTCATTGATTACTTAGTAGTGGTTCTAGCCCCAGACAGTTACTACTGTTGGTTTCCAAGTGATGTTTTCTCATTCCATTGTCTCTGCTACTTTTATTAGTTGGAAGGGTTTGTCCTCTTCCCCATCATTTATATATATGTCCATATGGGTTCTTGGATTCCTTTGTTTTATTGAATATAATCCACTGTTATTTTGTTGTTCAAATTGTCCCATATTTGGCTGATGGGAGCCTCTTCTAGCTGGCTCCTTTGTCCTTTTGGCATGCCCTCATCCTTTTTTAAACACTTCCTTAGGTTCTGACATCATGGGATGTTCCAGGCTTATTTTCATTAAAAAAAATTCAATGCCCAGCCCTGAAAATAGCTGTTTCTCCAAAGGACCTTAGTTCTTCTTATTGGAAAATAGTATTTAGGAAGCCAGGACCTAGGCACTGGTATGCTTATTGGTTTCCCCTCTCTCTGGTGCCATTGCGTTTAGGCTCCCTCAGTGAACAGAGCTGGGAGATACGACTTATGTATCTGTCAGTGCACACACATACACAGGTATCCCCTGTTTTCCAAAAGCTTACTTTACACTACTTCGCTTTTATTAAAGACCTACATTAGTAACTGTTTTCACTACCTAAAATAAATTCGAAGAGGATTTTCACTTTTATAGAAAAATGTGAAAAGCAAAAACAGTGCTCAGTGTTTTATTTTGCAGCCAGTTGTTACAGAGGCAGCGTGCACCCTGAGCAGTCGTGGGGCACCGCCAAGCTCCTCCCCCAGGAACCACACTCAGCATCAAGAGACCATAGCTGTGAACTGTGTCTGGGAGCATCTGTGCTTTATCTCGATTGATTTTGTGCACCTGTTAGCAAGATGCGTCCTGAGGTAATTGCTTCTATGCTTTATGCCATTTCAGCTTACTAAAGGTTTCATAGGAATGCTCTACTTTCAGATGGCAGGGGAAACCCATATGCACACACACATGCATGCATGCACGCACACCTATATCCATTTCTATGTGTGTGTGCGCACTTAGCCATGAACTCAAGTTCACACTGATGTCTTCAATTCCCCTCCAACGCTACACAGGGTTCATTTTGCCTTCCCCCCTTACTTATTTGAAAGTTCTCCAACAGTGAGAAATCTCTTTCATTATCTGCAATATATATACTTACCCGCTTAATCCTAGTGTTAATACAGCTAAAGTAGTTTTAGAATTGGTAACCCATATTATAGAAAACAAATCTACTAACTAGAGTACAATATTTATTTACAGAGTTGTTCCAGTGCTACTCATGTCAGCTCTACACTTCCTTCCCCTTTGACTCCTTAAAGTATGGTTACTTTACTCACTTGAAATACAGGTAGGGTCATTTGTTTCTGTTTGTATTCCATTTTGAATTCCCCCACCTCATTGGAGTCCTCAATGATTTAATTTATTATTATTTTTTGAGTATGTGAGACATTAACATGATTCTAAAAGTCAGAACTATACAAAAAGTATGCTCAGAAAAGTGCTAACTTCATCCTCTTCTCCCTCACCGCCATGTTTCCTACCCCATTCCCATCCTCCCACTCGCTGTGGGTAAACAACTTCATTATATTTTCTGCTTATCCTTCGTGTGTTTCTTTTTTGCACAAAGGAGCAGGTACCTGTATCATTTCTAACCACTTCTTTCTTATACCAGAGATAGTCTACTGTAGATACTCTTCTGTGCTTCGCCTTTTTCACTTAGCACTATGTTCTGGGAAGTGCTTCATTCAGTTTACAGAGCTCTTCTTTCTTCTTCTGCACAGTTGCCTGTGTCTTCATTGTACTGCCATTTTTTCAGCAAGTCTGTGATATACGGGCTTTAGGCGGTTGCTGGTCTGGGGCTGGGCCTTGTTTGCTGCCAAAGGTCCTCTACACTTCAGTGTCACCTGTCCTGGATTCCTCACTGTCTGGACCAGCCCTCTGTGATACTGTGATTTATAATAAGAAATATTTATTTGGTCTTTATCCCTATTTCTGGCACAGAGCTCCTAAAACTCTTTGAATTTAAGTGATAAGACCAATAAAGGTGTCTTGGTATTCACAACAAACCCCTTTCCAACAAACTCACACCTGGGTTTATGTTAATGAGGTGTTTCTAGAAAGTACCTAAGGATGGGGGCTGGTTGCCATGGAAACAAACCATGGGAATAGGAGGGTTGAAACTCAGCATCTCCCCGTCTCTGACTTCTAATGGCCAATGATTTAACCAAGCATGCCTATGTAATGAAGCCTTCATAAAAACCCCAAAAGGATGGCATTCAGAGAGTTTCTGGACTGGCAAATATGTGGAGATGTGAGGAGAATGGCGTGTCTGGAGAGGGCATATACGTTCCATGTCTCTTTCCCATACCTTTCAGTATTCATCTCTTCCATCTGGCTGTTCCTGATTTATATCCTTTTATAGTAAACTGGTGATCTAATAAGTAAAATGTTTCTCTGAGTTCTGTGAGCTGCTCTAGAAAATCAATTGAACCTGAGGAGGAGGTTGTTGGAACCTCTGATCTATGGTCAGAAGCACCGGTGATAATCTAAGCTTTTGATTAGCATCGGAAGTGAAGGGTAGGGGCAGTCTTGTGGGATTGAGCCCTTAACTTGGGGATCTGATGCTATTTCCAGGTATATAGTGTCAGAATTGAGTTGAATTGTAGGACACCCAGTTGGTGTTGGAGAATTGCTCGGTAGGGTTGGAAAAAAATACATACATTGTAGTTGGAATCAGAATAATACCGTCCAAAGCCTCAGGAGAGGTCAAGGTGTCAGGCCATGTCCAGCCAGAGCTACTTGCAGACACAGCTTTACTTTCTGTGAGTCAAGGAGCGATGGCTGCTGGGTTCACTGGCTTGGAAAAGCTCCTGGCCAAGAGTGTAGATTCAAGATGTGAACACAGAAGTGAAGCAGGGGTAGCATGTCTGGGGAGGTGGCAAGCAGACGCTTAAAGTGGAAGGGCTAAAAAGGGCTGACGTCAGAGAAAGGAGTCCCAGTTGAAATGAGCAGGCAGAAATGAGTCTGGGGGTTGAGGTTCTATTCAGAAACTATATTGTGAGATGCACTGGGCTGGGACATGGGCTCAAAGCATCTGAACTGTACTGTGCTCTCAGTAACTGTTGGACATGGTGGTCCACTAGCTCTGGTGACTAATGGCTTGCTGTGCTGTGTGTCTGTGTCTGCACATGCCCTCGGCCAGCCTGAGCCCCTTCAGGGATGAGAAGTACCCTTGTGACTTCTGTCCCGCCCCAGTGAGCTGGCTTAATTCCGCCATGCAGCCCCTTGCTGTCTCCAAGGTCAGGCCATAAGTTACAGGCCCTGCTTGGCTGAATTCTGAGCACCACAATTATCTCTCGTGATCCATACTCAATCCCTGTGGAGCAGGCCGTGCAGATTGGCAGATAAGGAGGTTGAAACACAAAAAGGTCACGTGACTTGCTCAAGGAGGTCACCTAGCTACTTTGTGACTCAAGGACCTCTTATCTGTTAGGTGCACCTCTTATCCATTAGTGTACAGTGCCTAAGGCCCACTTTCAGAGGTCTGTGAAAATGTTTTCCTTTTAATGTCTTTAAAAAATCATAAGAAAAAAAGAATGCAATAATAATAAACGAATATGTAACAGTGAATCCAACCTGAATTGTATTAGTCTCTACACCAACACAGTTGCAAAATACAAGTTTTAATGCATCTTAATGGAGGAAGAGACTCACAAAAACAAAAGTCCTTAAGGCCCATGAAAGTCATAACATAGCCCTGCAGTGACAGAGCTGGGACTTCAGGGTTCTCTATTCCACATGCCGTGTTCCTTTGGTCTAGGCTGGGTGAGGGTCTAGACACCTTGAGCCTTTGAAAGCAGGATAATGAAGCTAATGTCCTTACGAGCCACATATGAAAATTGTCTTAAGGGGACCAGGAGAACCAAAGAGAAGAGGAGACCTCTCCTCACTTGGACTACATCTTTCTTAATTTGCATCCAATTTGGTATTGCCAGGAGTCCAAGGGATCCGGGTCAAGAGTGCATGTGGGGAGAGAGGACTGGTCACCTAAGAGGCAGTGTGGACCCTGTGTGTGTTTGGGGATATATTTAGATCCACATTCAATTACGTACTTTTACTTGCTGTGCAGCCTTTGGAAGTTTTAAAATAGTGATAATAGTCCCCTCACAGTTGTTGATAAGAAGTAAAGTGGATCAGGTCCTAGGCACTCTTCATATCCAACAGGTGTAATTGAGCTCTCTTCCTCCCACCTGTGTGTCTGCCACAGCCTGCACATGCGCACGCTCTCTGTCTCTGCCTCTCCTTTGCTGCTGCTTAAAGCTGTCTATGCTGGCGGCTTATTGCTTTCTGTTATACCCATGGCAAGAGGAATCTGAGAACACTCCACTGGATTCATTTTAGATTATAAATAGAATTCTTGATTTTTCCCCCAGTCACGTGCAGGTGCCCCTGTGGTTTGTTACCGAGGCACGCAGTCCTGAACACAACAGGGAATGACAATAGAAAATGTAGCCTGAAGAATAAGCAATTATTTTCAGCAAAGAACCAAAATAACCACATCAGGCAGGTACCAAGAGGGGCTTTTGTCAGGTTTTAATCAGCCCTATTGGGTGGTGGAGAATGAGTGGGAATTATAAACGTGACTTCAGTGTGGCTTGATGTCACTGCTCTCTGCGTCCTTTTGATGAGCACTGGCTCTTTGATTTCTGTGTGTTTCTGTGTGACAAAGCGAACTTCAGATGAGAAGCAGACCTGGAGGGGGCCTGTCTACCTGCCCCCCTCCCTAACTGCGTTAAGCCCTTGGCTTGGCAGGAGGGAGGGGTCTCATCACACCTGCTCATTGAAAGAAGTGCGGCATCTTTGCAGTCAGGACACACAAAACCCAG